CTTGGAGAATCTATGTGAAACTAAAAGCCAGAAGACAACGCATGACTTGCGTAAGAACCAATGATGCATATTTGATGATAAAAAGCTTACAGAGATAAACATAACCCTAAAAAATAGTGTGGTAACAGATTTAAAAACTTATTTTAAATGAAGGAACAGTAATTACCAGGTAATGTAAACTGATTACACTGTAAAATATCAGATCAGATCACATTTACTTTTATATATTCAATATATTATACCAAGCACTGTATATTGTTAATACTAATTTCTGCGTACCCATCACTTTATATAGATTGTGTCATTTAATCTTCACAATAGCCCTATAAATTCAGTGTTACTATTATTATTGTCACCCCATTTTCCAAGTGAAGAAATGAGGCACAGGTAGATATACTCACTTATCCAAGATCTCATAGTCAGTTAAGTGACAGAGTTGGGATTCAAACCCATGTCCACCTGACCCCAGAGCCCTTGATCTTAACCCCTATTCTAAATTCCTTCTCAGTTCACTCCAAAGGTGAAAAGTAGAACTTAAAAGTTTGTGAACTACAACACATGAAGTAAGAATTATCAACTCCTAAAACCTGTGGTCAGCTTTGCAACTTCCCATACATCCTTACCTCTTCTGTGCTTTTTAAAGTTAAAAAACTCATATCAACTTTCTACCTGTTATTTTTACATTTCACATCTGTCCTATGTCATATTTTCCTTGGTAACAATCTCTCTTTCCCATTTGGTCTTTGGTCCTCTGACACAGATTACACAAAGCAGAAGTAATACGACAGGTAAATATCAAAGAAGCTCTGTACTACCCACTCTGCTTGCTTCTGAATATTTTCCCCACTGCAATGTAGGTGCTTAGCAAATTCTTCCAACACGCATCACCTTCCATGATCAAGAGGGCATTTTCTCCACCCATCTTGATATATTTCCTAGGAATTCCATGCAGGTTTTCATAATGGGGAAATCAGAAAGTGCTGCATTGGTAGATTTGGGCATCAGTCAAAAATAAATGCCAGACTTAAAACATGAAAATAATGAATCCCTTAAAATGTACCTGTAACAAGACATCTGACTTTGGATTGTTATCAAAGGTAAATTTTTAAAAAGCAGACAACTGGGCTCACTGATTTTGTATTATTTAAATCAAGGTTTACACAATTTTTAATGGTCCTAAACAGTCACCAGTCCTTTGGCACCAAGTTATTTCTGGATTATCACAGAGTATATTTTCTTGACTTTAATGCTGCTTTAAGATTCAGCAATCTTGTGGGTCACTGTTAACAAGCTACTAATAAAAAACTTAACATCTTCATATAAATAGAGCTGGTTAAAGGAGAATTACCACTTTTCTCTCCCCAAGTCCTTATCTTCTAATGTCTAAAACAAAAACCACTACTATTTACCCAACTCTTAGTGTGCAGAAGAACCATTTTATATAGATCCCAAGCATGCATCAAAAGGCTACTAATGTGCTATAAGCATAATACATTTTTAATATAACTTGTAAAGGGCAACATCAAGTAATTTAACAGAATAGGGCTTGTGTATACTTTTATATGTGTGCATATACTATTATATATTTTAATGTAAAGTAAAATAGAACTATTATCTTACTAAATTATTCAAATTTCCTTTAATTTTATAATTTTCTTTTCCTCACTTTTCAAATTCCTTTCACAAAGTTCACTGTCTTGCCAATTAAATGGACAGTTAAAGAATATAAACTTCTTCCTAGGATCAAGTAAGGAACCCTTTCCAGGTGAAGCTTTGTTTTAAGTGATTTCTCAATTACATATATTTAGAAATTTGGCCAATTATAAATCACGCATCTCCAGTCTAGCAATGAAATTCATCATTTCAACCTCATATTTTGAAAAAGGACTTATAAAAAGCAAAAGTAAACTAATCATTTTTGCTAAACCAAATTTGAGCGAAAGAAATTGGATTTCATAAAATCTTAGAACTGGAGGAAATCTTAAAATATTATTCAGTTCCATTAAAAATTATGCAGAAAACTGGAGAGTCTAGAGAAAATACAGTATTTTAAAGGAAAGTGGCCTGATTAGAAATAATTAGAACAGAACACAAAGCTGGACTCAAATATTTGAATGAGGAGAGTTTTTTAAAACGACTAACACTAGAAAGTTCTTGTTAAAATAATTAATGATAAAAATGTAAATCAAGCTGCATTTAGCTTGATTAAACCAGTAAAGTGCTTCAAAAGAGCTGTGTAGCTTCCTCTTTTATTCAAAAGCTTCAGATTACCAGGTTCAGAAGGCATTCCCTTTAGGGTGAAAATTGCCTGTAGACACCCTGCTTAACTGGAAACAAGCTTGCTGCTTTGTTACAGTAAATACACTGGAAATTTATTTAAATACCCTCACAATTCTTGCTCACTGGCTCTAGGCTCTAAAGACTCAGAAGATTATTTTCCAAGCACAGAGGAGCATCAATTTTGCTGCTTTTCTCAAGGAGAAATCCTTGACTGAGAGATAAGATCATTTTCTCTTAAAGCTATTTGAGAAATCATGCTGTGTAACCTCAGTGGAGAATGCACAGCCGCCAAACTCCATGGGTTTGCTCCAGATGGATAAGGAGAAGACCCTGGGTTGAACCCTTATTAAAATGACATTATGGCTATAACTTTATGTGAACATGAGGTTATCAAGATTATAGTTCCCATGACATTCATTCCCAAGCATTTCAACACCATGTAGAAGTCTTCTATTTGTTTTTAAACAGTCACTCAATGTTTCTCAGATGTGAAGTGAGACTAATAACAGCACCTAACTTAAATGACCATTATGAGGATTAAATGAGATTGTACAAAATGACCTCATCAGGAAGCCTGACATATAAACAGGGCTTCCTATTATTATTTAATACCTTCTACTACCATTTAAACATGCTCAAGTCTCTTTGGGGGTGGCTTTTCCCATTTCAGGTCCTCCCTCCAACTCTCTCTGTCTCATACAATGCTCCCCCTCCCCCGCCGCTACCCACCCACTACAATCGTGCTTCTTGCCACTTTACTCAAACTGTTCCTGCCAGTCACCTCTTTAATTAATATACAGCTGTAAGCATGTCTATTAATTTATATGCAGTATATAAAAACACATTTCATATTTTACAGAGGAAGGGGTACCTTTTCCTAAACACAGAGCTGAAATAAAAGATACACAAATATTCTAAAATCCATTAAAACCAATTTGATATATACTTTTGGTTTTAAACATAAATCTGAACACAAATTCTCCCCATTTCCTTAGACCATTACTATTAGAAAATTTAATAGGAAAAACATAAACAAACCAATGTTCTAAAAGAATCATAATCAACCTTTTAGATGCAAAATGCCTAATCTTTCAAAATAAAATTTAAATTAATGAGTTATTTGTTACTAACTTCCCAGGTATAGTTTTTGATGGATTATGACAAAATGAAAAATGTGCATCATCTTCTTTGGATTATAAATACGAAGCAGCTTTCAGAACTTTTATTTGGAAATTTGATAATTAAAAAAATGGTTGTCAAGTAAAAATATCAGTCAATAAATACTTGAATAATTTTTTGCTTTTGAAAAATTTTAACTCAAGTGTCCCATATAAAACAGGTTCTGAGGATAAGTAAATGTACTGATATTAAAATTAGCTAAAATGGAAGATAAAATGGAAGATTATATAAACTTTTCAAGAGTTTATATAAAGAAACTTTATGACAAGAGAAGCTCAGTCATGAATCTTGCCTTGACTTTCATTTTCTTGAATCCTTTCAAGTGTTCAACCCACCAAAGGCAAGAACATAGAGTTAATGCAACAGCAAAAACATTCTCACACATTGTCACCATCTTTAGGGGCAGAAGGACATTTCAAATTTTGTGACCTTTCCTGGTCAAGGAATCCTTGTGACAATGAACTGTACCACCCTCTCCAACTCTACCAGTCCCTTTCCAAAGGCTGCTGTTTAAGAAAATCTACAGTGCAGCTTCCAATAGTATCATGTTGATCAGTTTGTTGGGTAGGGAAGATGGATGGGCTGTGAAGGAGGAAGCCATTAAGGCCACTAGGGCTGCCAATTACAGTTGCCATCTGTGCCCTGACCCAGGACACTCAGTAAAGGGGATAAAGTGTGTTTGTGTGTGTTTGGGTGGGGTAGGGGAATGGTCAGAAATCCAGCCCAAATGCTCCAATCCTTGATGCCAGGCATAGGGCTGCATCTTCCCAGAGGAAGGGGTACCTTTTCCTAATATGCATAAAGATACATAATGGGTAGCTATAGCCTTGGGCCCATGTAACAAAGAAGAAGCCAGACAATATCTAACTGACCTAGGGAAGATGGAACTAAACATTAACTTAGTATCTACTCCGTACTAGAACTGTAATATAAAAGCTTTATACGTATTATATGATTTCCTTTAATATCTTCCTCTCTATAATAAGGGGCATGACCACTACCCATTATATAGATGAGAAAAACGACAGATTTAAGTAAACTGCCAAACAGGAGACAGAAAAAAAATTTATACTCAGGTTTATCTTCTGTGAAAAAGGTGGAAATGTGTTAAATAACATGTACCAGCCCTAAGAAAGATGCTTTGAGCTTTATAAGTTGCTACCTTCCAGTTATTCTCAAGGTAGAACAAACATCCACTTTAAGAGGTGAGTTAAGAACAACACAGCTTGGCTTCCCATCCAAACCACCAAAGGAAGAGGGAAACTTCAACTCTAAGAGACACAAGAAAGCGGCACAATAAAACACAAGCATGTCAAAGTTAACCAAACTAGGAATTTGAGATATTCACTTCAGAACTGAAACTTTAAAATCTGTTGGCTTTCAGCAGGTTATCTGAAATAAGTTTCCCTTATGAAAGTGGATAGAAAATAACCATCATCCATGCTCCAGTTTCCTTAAAAGAATAACTACTATTTTCCACAGAAAGTTTTATCAATGCACGAGCATTACTTGGTGTGCTCTAATTACAGCATTTCACTCACCTGAGGCTGAATTCATCATGTTCTGCTGCACTGGTGGACTGGTAGGGGATGTAACGTTCATCTGGGAGAGCATGGCCTTCCTGGGGTCCTGCCATGTTGTTGTTTGATCTATGTGACTGAGACAAAACATCCACTGCATTAGATAACAAATACGAGGCCCTTAAAACAACAACCTCACTTATCAAAATAGGGTAGCTCTATGAAGTAGTAGGCAAAGGATTCTAAATTAGCTCTGTAAAAGCATACAGTCTTGGCACCTCACTGCTCTCACCCTTCCTCTGCAACCTTTTGTCATCCTTATATCGCTGAACTTTCCCCTCTTAGATCTTACAAGTGCAAAATTTGAAAAAGTTATGTCTGGAGTTTTAAGTGAAGGGAAACCATTTTCACCTAGCAGACAATTATTATCTGCTTCTAACTTAAAGATAAAATGTGATTTATAAATTAATCATCTATAACAGTAGTCATATGAGCAAAACCCAAAATTCATAAGGGAATCACCCACTTTTTTTCCTCCTAGAGCTATAAATGCCAATTAACATATAATTTTAAGATCTAAAACCCTTTACACTGAACAAATAAAACATGAAAAGATGAAGTCTTATTATAGTACATACTCCAAAGCCAAAACAGAATTACAAACTTGATTGTTTCCTGTGACTGCTGAAGGCCTTTGTGATTTGCTAAACAAAACATTTAAACATTTTCTACATACTGTTAACGTACTGCAAAATATCTTACACACATGCATATAGATGTCTTCATCTATAAAAATGGGGATGAAAACAGCTAAAAATTATATGAAATATGAGACTACAAGGCATCTTGCACAGTATTTGGCATATGAGCATTCAAAAAATATAGTTTTCTTCCTCCAGCAAAGAGTAATTGTTTTGCTGAAACAAAAACTAAAAATATTATACCCATGAAACCACCTGAAAATTTATCTTGAAGAAATAGCCAGGGAAGTATTCAACGATTTATGCAAAGTTCTCTTCTGTATAATTAATAAAAGCAAAAATCTAAAAGCAGATAACAACATCTAACCAGAGGGACTAATTAAATCTTGTTACATATAACGTACTATATTGCAGCTACTGAAAATATTTTAGAATAATACTTAATAGCATAGAAAATATTCATAATACAGCTTTTAAAAGTAGATTGTAAAACAATTGAGGCTAATTGTTTAAACGTGTGTGTACTGAAAACACATGGGAAGGAGAGACATCAAAATGTTTTAAGTGTTTAGATGGCAAAATTACAGAACTGTTTAATAATAGGAAAACCTAGAAAGACAATCATGAACTCATTATCTTTGAAATAGGGGAGGGAGGGCATTAGAAATAAGTTATTAAAAAAAAACCTCAAATCATTTTCTCTATGGCTGTTTAAATTTCAAATCTGATTTCTCTCTTCCTGAATCATCCCATGATAAATACCCATGTAAATAGTAAAGGAAATGATATTCTGTCGTTAATTTTCCTGAAATGGAACCAGAATGCTCTCTCATCAATAATGTTACCATATCAATAACACAGTAAAAAAGGATCTTAGACTCTGGCTAGAAAGGAACTTAAATATTATCTACTAGAGATGGGAGAATTCTTTTTCCTAAGCAAGCAGAAAGAAGATGAAAACAGGGGGGTAAAAAATGTGGAAGATTTGTACACTTGGGAATGACAATGGTACCTGACAATTGAAGCCTATTACAGACCAACTAAAAATGCTAAGAGAGAATATTTATTTAGTAGAGTATATAGTCTCTCAAATATCACCTTATCAGCACTTCTTTACCAGTCATATATGCTTTTTAGCAGTTGCACTAGCACTGCTCAGGTCTAGACAATACAGGCAAAAACTTGTTCAAGTGTATACGTAAACACCTCATTCTAAAAGATCACATCCTTAACAAGCTCAGTTAAGAGTTTACTCCTTTTCCATCCTCCATGTGAGCCACTGAACAAATTAAACCATAAAATGTTTCCTAGATATTCAGTGCTTCTCATGCTTACAGATATAAAGCAATACACATGATAATTAATACAGTCATACTGAAGGAAAGAAACTTGAAACCTGTAAGACAACTAAAATTTAGGGAAATGTTTCTGTTTCTCACTGCCTGTTACAATGTTAAGAAACCAGGAAAAATGGCCAGTGATTCATTATTACTGGCTCTTAAATATGAATGAAATTGTGTGCCACCTGCCTACTCCTTGCCTCCAGTACTTTTTTTTGTTTGTTTTTTTGCGGTACGCGGGCCTCTCACTGTTGTGGCCTCTCCCGTTGCGGAGCACAGGCTCCGGATGCACAGGCTCAGCGGCCACGGCTCACGGGCCCAGCCGCTCCGCGGCATGTGAGATCTTCCCGGACCGGGGCACGAACCCATGTCCCCTGCATCGGCAGGCGGACTCTCAACCACTGCACCACCAGATAAGCCCTCCAGTACTTCTTAAAATCTGTTACCTTTGTGAGGGGTAAAAGAGAAGAGAGAAGCAAGTTCTAGATTCTGACTGTTGAAGCTTTTCTAAATATCTAACAGGTTTCTCTGAAAACTAACCAATTATGTAAATCATATTAATCCATTTACAACTAGAGTGCAGTCCACTTGAGGGTTTAGGACCCTATTGTGATGACTAAATGACCATATTCCAATAACAAGTACATGAACCTTCCCAAATAGTGGAGCCAATCCGTAAGTCTGTTCTTAAGGCTTCTTTCTCCTTTAAATAAATTAGTGTTTTGAATATAATGCAGAGAATGTATAGTTTTACTGCTCTCAAAATAGTGATTATTTTGCTGAAACACTACTAAGTGTACAAATGCCAAAATTTCTCCTCCTGAAAAGGCTCTGTTGAACCTCAGTAAGTTAGCTTAGAGCCCTATAAAGCTATCCTATGTTACTTCAGCTAATGTTCCACTTACTCAAAAAAGATCTACATTTTTTTAAGGAATAAATATGCCATTATTTAAATTGTCCCAACTCTAAAAGCATGCAACCATTTAGATGCTAAAGGGAATGTGAAATAAAATTAGCTTTAGAGTTTTTGTCTCCACTTTTTCTATAAGATTAAATCATGAATACTGTTTCATCCTAAAAAGTCAATTTGCATACCCCAAAATATCCAGTCTTCCTTATCATAAGAATAAAAATCTTTATAAAAACATTTCATAGGACAAAGAACTACTTTTGCTTATACAAAATAAATAGTTTGCTAGGCCTACTCTTCCCCCAGATATCTGCACAGGACCTTCCCTCATCTCCTGGTCTTTGCTCAAATGTCTTACTCTTAGTGAGGCCTTCCATGGCCATGTCATCTAAAATCCACCCTATTTAAACTTCTACTCCCTCTTCTTTGCTTTATTTTTGTTTGATAATCCTTTATCATTATCTGACACATAATTTACTTATTTTGTTTGTCTATTTCCTCAAACTAACAAGCTCCAGGGAAAAAGGGACTTTTATCCATTTTATTAACTACTATATCTTCAATGATTAATAAAGTGCTTGATAAATATTTGCCAATGAATTAATGAAAAGAAAGCTTTTTTCTTTTTGCCCTAAGAATATCAAACTTTCTCCCTAAGTCCTTGTCGCCTTACTGACTTTATCAATACCCACCTTCTTTTCCAAAAATGTAATTGCAGGTAAGGATTACAGACCCACTAGAAATAGTAATAAGGAGATTATTGGTGACACCGGCAAGAGCAGCTTCAGTGGCATGATGGGGGTACAGTGCATAGGAGGTAAGAAAACAGACAAATTTAGTTGTGTACAAAACCACAAATGGATGGATATGAATTTTTGTATTTTTCAGGAGGAAAAAACTCAAGTGTTTAAATGTGAATGAAAACAGAGTAGCTGAAGATGTGCTAAAGGATCAATGAAGAGTTATAGTCATCCATTAGAGAGTGAGAAGGAACAGAATGTAGACACTGCTTCCACTGTAAGGAGGTGAGGAAGAAAGGATAGGGTAGAAGCAAATAATTTCACTGGTTGGTCAAAGTTGATCGCATTCTGGTGTGAGGACTTCTACTCTCTTATAGAGAGATATAACATTAAGAGGATTAAGGAGGCTGGCATTATTGGTACCCCCACTATGAAAAACTGAGGGACTTGCACAAGGTCACATATCTAGTACACAACAAGACTACATCTGGCACCCAGGAATTCTGAAAACGATTTTTGCACTAGACATATACATGAAAAGGACAATATTCAAAAATGTAAATTCTTTGTAATATACATTGAATAACAAATATATTGCATAAATACTAAAGAGGTAGTATAATAAAAAGGCATGTATTGAAGATTCAATAAAAGAATTTACAGAATATTACAAAACAGAGTTTCTATTACTACTAGAATATAAGCTTCTTGAAGAAAGTGTACCTGGGAGAGTGCCTGGTACATAGTAGGGCTCAATAAATAGTAAACGCAATGAATATTAGAGCAGTGTGCATTATTTAAGAATGTAGGTGATTAAGAGTTCACATAAATGCTAATCAGAGAATGGGCTGAAAAGAATTTTCACTTAAACTACAGATTCTAAAAAAGGTCAAATTTATAAATAACAGAATCAAAATATTCAAACCAAGGAGATAAAATTAAGCAAAACTCATAAAACAGTATTTTCAGAGTTAAAAATATGAGTGGTTATATATAACACAGAAAACAATTTAAAATTTAGTTTATCTTGTTCCTAAGAATAGTCTAGCTGCTAAACTTACTACAGGAAAATAGATAAGTTGAAATTCTCCAGCCCCTTCAAGATATGTAAATAAATTATTCTTTCCTATTACTTTGGAAAAGAAAAGGTGATTGGATTTATGAATAAGATAAACCCTATGATTTTACTCTGGAGCAGCTAAGACTGGGAAACAATGAACCTTTCAAAGTTTAGACTGATGAAACATAAGCAGCTGTACTTTGACCAAGGTCCACGTCCAGCAGCAGTCTCTCCTGCGTATACAGAGCCACCTCTCCTGTTGGCTTTTGTCTTTTACTTTATACTGCAGAATCTGGCCTTACATATTGGATGACTTAGCAGAATCCATGTAGAACCAAAAAAGGGGCAGAAATCTAAAGTGAATCATTAGTAAACTGACTTTTTGC